ATTTAATTAATTTCAATTTTTCACTACAAAACTAAACATTTATTAACACATTTCTAATTATTAATCTAATTTCTAATACAATTTAATACATTTCTAATTCATTAAAAGATTATAATTATTTATAATACTTTTTCATTGAATACAAATCTTTTATTTACAAAATAGTATTAAAAAAGTTTTTGAAAGTTTACTATAAATTATAAAATGAATGACATATCGTTTGAATGGTATCTAATGTTAGAATCGATAAGAATGGTGTGATTCTTGTTTGGGTTTACTCTCAATAAATGACATTTATTTCATCATAATATGCACTTATATAGTGTACGAACCGAGAAATGAAGCAAAAGTCCATAAGTATAACAAAGTCTGATTCAGTACAATGAAGACCCAAACACTTTAGTACACTATATTAAGTCCAGTTTTAAATAATAATTAATGACATTCATAATTGCCTTAATCTCTTGTAAGATAAGTGTTGGCACAGATACACGTAATTCTTATAGTATGAATAACAGTAAAAGGTTACTAACAAATTAAATCAAATAAAAAATATTTACTTAATCTTTCAATTAATGACCAAAAATTATAAATTAATAAAAATCCAAATACCAATTGTTTATTTTAAGTGCAGTAATGTTAGGAATAATTTTTAATGTAACGATTTATACACTGTATGTGAAGACATTTACTTATCCTTGTATCTAATTGTGAGTTACAAAATAGTGTTAACTTAATGAATATATTTAATTAATTTTGTATTACTCGTTAATAATCTCATTTGTATGGATACAAAGAGCCAATAAAAGGTCACTTTATTAAATGNTGGATATCATTGTATCTAATTGTGAGTTACAAAATAGTGTTAACTTAATGAATATATTTAATTAATTTTGTATTACTCGTTAATAATCTCATTTGTATGGATACAAAGAGCCAATAAAAGGTCACTTTATTAAATGATTAGAAGCGAATTGTTAGTGAATCCTAAAAACGATTAATAATAGGCTATTAACTTGAATGAGTGTAGTTATAGCTCAATAAGATTAATGTTATACTAAAAAGACAGGTAATTAACACTCACTATCGGTCACTGAAGGACAACAGAAAATTCTGTTGAGTGAATGACAGACAAAATTATGTTAAAAGTCATAAAAGTTCATCAAATGATAGCAGTTATAACAATAAATTCATATCCACTTATGGATAGTTAGTAATAATTAATAATATTAGCTTTTGTCTTGTATCCGATGTGAATCATTACAACTCATATATTTGCTATACTGTATTCATAGTAGATATCTTACTTATAGGAGTAGTAGATAATAGTAGATAATAATTACTTAATACTAGCGTAATGTTAATGTATTGTCTTTGTGTATAAAAGTGCAAAAAGTATAAGAAGTTTAATAAGAGTGGAAAAGAGTAAAAATAGTCTCTTATAGAGTAATACACTTTAAGATAATCTCTAAGCAATGGTTTAATTTCTATTGAATAATACAATACATTAACATCTAATTGATTGATAATTATAATAATTTCATAATAACTGATATGATATCATAAAAATTATTGTCTATAATATTTCAACTAACAAAAAATTAAATTGAAATATTATGTCATAAATTGTATGCAATTAATTATTAATAAATTTAGGTAAATTTAATATTAATAATTAAACTTAAAAATAGTCAATTAAATTTATATACTCGTGATGTTATGTAGAATTTTTGCAATATTTGTAACATTTGATACACTTATGATTAGTTTAATACAGTATTAAATTAATTTTTGGCAAATGTTATAATGAAATATCGGCTGTTTGTATGAAATTCAATTCAAAACACACATTAAACTATAAAATCGTCCAAAGAGTACATAAACTTAAGATAAAATATTGCTTATTTGACATTTAATTTAAAATTTATTTATTTGTTGAAAGAATTTTCCAAAGAATCGTTGAATTTGTGGGAATATTACGAAATACTTGGCTGAAGAATGAGACACCGATTGTGCCCTATATGTTGTCTCGTCTGAATATGATTTGAGACATTGATATGAAATCACGGGTTAAATCACATTTTTTTAACACAATCACTAAATTTCATTCTTATCTATTAAATGGCGTAAAATAGCATTTTATAGAATATTATACTTTTATTAAACACTTGTATTTTAAAATCACATTTTGTAAGAATTTACAGTAATTAATGAGGTGTACTTAATATACAATAATTCAACTATAATTATGAATAGCTTTTAACACTTGAATTCTGTGAAAATAAACATAAATAAATTTATATATTTACTATAAGAATTGAGACAAACATTTATCATTGAAAATAAATACAGACAACTCTTAGTTTGCAATTTTGCAATCAGTCCGGCATCAAAGCCAAGGCCTAAACTGACACGTCTTCAGACCACTATCTTTTTGAGGACTTGACATCAGTTCTTCTAAGAAGAATCACATGCTATACACGTCTCGCAATATATCAAGAATTTTGCATTATTTATGTTAAAGAATCGGATGATTGATATGCTATCGTCCGCTCTCTTTGTATTCAAGAAAGTACTGAAAAAATCCGGAATTAAATAATGAAATTAAAAATTTGTTTACTTTAAGTTTGTTGTAAAGACAATTCATTAACTTTTTTGCTAACTTTAACAATAAATTTAGATAATAAAAACTTTTTCCAATAAAAACATGTTTTTAAAAACATTTTCCATTTTGTTTGTAAATAATTTATTATCGCTAATAAATAGACAACATTTCTATTGAAAATAATGAGCTTATATTAAAAATATTATTGAAAATTCTAAGTAAAAAACATGATTAGATAAAACAAAAGGATCATTTTATGATCAAATATTATGCAATAGTTGCACTGCATATAATCATATCATTACAATTACCATGGTACTACCAATAATAATGGTTATTCACACTTCAGGTGTTTGATATTCTGATACTAAGATCATGGCATAAATTATATCCCTTTCCGTCACTTAATTGTTTCCAACAAAGAATTGCATAAAAAAGTCACAAAATATGCAATAATTCTAATAATTATATCATTTAATGCTTTGTTTCGAGAACTCTATGTCATAATCACGCGTATTGTTAACAGCATTTGTAGTGCTTTTAATTGATAAGAGTATTACTAATTGCTGTGAAAACCTATTTATTAAGATTACTGATTAATCGTCATCAATGTGTAGGCACTGGCAGTCATTCAAACCAATCGTACGTCCAATTGAATCACACGATCACACACTCACTCTTTATCATACAAATTGAATATAAAAGCCACCAAAAGTTACATTCATTTCAGTTAACAATTTCGAAAGAGTTGAAAAAGTATTTGGAAAAAGAGTTCAATTTGACAAACGATTCAACAGTTAATCCCTAATTATAGCGGTTTGAAGAACAAACATGCCATCAATAGGTCGAGTAGTGTTGCCTTTTGGGACTCAGGGCTCAAAGTCAAAGAATAAGGAGTCGATGGAAAGCGATTGTAAGCCAACGGTTGAGATGACTGAAGCGGACGCCGACTCGTCGGACAATGAGGCGATCGAACCGACGCCTGAACTCATCTCAAAGATCGTAACTCAAGTCGAGTACTATTTTTCGGACGAAAATCTAATTAAAGATGAATTCATTTTGAAACACATCCGTCGAAACAAAGACGGCTTCATTAGTCTGAAACTGTTGTCTTCGTTCAGAAAAGTCAAAGTGATTACAAAGAACTGCAAACTCGTCGCCCATTGCGTCAAAATTGGCTCAAAGAAGTTGGAACTGAACGACACGGAGACCAAAATCCGCCGCAAAACTCCGTTACCGACACTCGAAGGCGACAAACACTCGCGGACTGTCATCGCATACAACTTCGCCGTCGGAACCGATAATATTGAGAGCATTACTAAAGAGTTTTCCAAATTCGGAGACATTGCGCTCATTCGTCTTCTGAAGAATAATTCGACCACTTCTTCGTCAGTCATTCCCGTAAATCAGTTAAAACTAATTGAAAACAAAGTCAATTTGGAGAAGACAACAGTCGCTACCATTGAATACATTAACAAGTCTTCAGCAGAAGAAGCGTTTAAACGAAAGAGCAATAATAATAATTGGAGGAATGGTATTGAAGTGATGCCTTTGAAGCCAATGATGGCAAACAAGAAACAACTCAAAACTGGAGATCAATTGGAAACCGGAGAAAACGTTATAAGAAAAACTTATAAATCAAATGAAACGCAAAATTATTACAATAATGCATATAAGAGACCACTCTTTCAGCGACAGAAATCAAAGAGTTATTCGGCGGCCGACGAGAAGATGGTCTTTGAAAATGTCTTCAAATCTCCGTTCCATAAAAACAATGTGACAAAAGTAGAGGCGACTAATGGCCTAAAACTGCCCTCAAATGTGTTGCGAATGCCTCGCGGACCCGACGGAACCAATGGTTTCAATACCAATCGCAGCCATCGAAGTCATTCCGAGCCATAGATTATTACATTTATATTTCAATTATTGTAAATAATTTCAAATTTTTCATCAATTTTTATATTTAATTCATATTATTTCATAAATAAAAATCTATTCATAAACTATACATTGGTATCAATTGATTGCATTGTATCTAAAGGTTGTTGTGCTGTAGCCATGGCTTCGCGATTAGTAATACCTTTTCTTCCTTTCCCTTTGCCTTTCCTTTTAAGTGACTTTTTATCTGAAAATATGAATCAATTGTTAGACAAAATTGTGACTAAATAGTGGTAACCAATCAATACTCACAAACTTTTTGTTTGAATTTTTTGCTTTTAAATTCTTGTTTTTCATTAAAAAATATGTAATCAATGGTCTCTTTGGTAAGTCTGGAGTCGTTTTTGAGTAAATGAAAGAAAACTCCGCCACAAGTGCGGCGTCTTTTGCCGTCGGCTGTCATGAGTCCACCCGAAGACTGAACGTCAAGAGCGGCCGAACACAGTTCCGACGTCTTCTCGGGACCAATCGTCTCGTAAACCGTTTCTGTCAACACATTAGACAATCATTAAATTTAGTCATTATCTTAAAATTGTCTTAAGACTCACTCAAAAGATCCGTTTTTGGTTCATTCAGTTTATAAGCAATTTGTGACACAATATCTTTATCCGCTTTCTTCTTCTTCTTGTTCTTCCGCCTCTTCTTCTCACTCTTTGTCTGTTTATTGTCTGAATTATCGGTCGTTTGTGTCAATTGTTGGTCACAATTGTCTTTCTGTTTGTCCTCTAATTGTTTTTTAGTCCAAAACGAATAGTTTTCCGATTTTCGGTCAAATTTCGTCGACTTCTTCTGCCGTTTCTTAATGTCCATCGAATTGCTCACCGAATGGTTGAGCTCTTCCTCCAGAAGAATGTCTGACCAAAGAGTGAACCGATTCTTCGCTCTGTTGTCATCCCTTTTGTCCATAATTTCCAACGATTTCGAGACTTTCAATGCCTTTGAATCAAACAATTGGTGATTATCTTTACCATCGATGGCTGGCTTCTGGTCGTTGTGATCGTCGCTGTCATCGTTGAGTTCTCCCTCTTCTGATGACTCGTCCGAAGACTCATTTTTGGTGAAAGTGTGGAACCGATTCATCGATGGTTTCGCCGATCGTCTGATTGTTTATCAATTGAAATGTGTTTTCAAAGCGAAAAACATGTGAAATGAATGAGAGTTTTGATCACAAGTTGTCACCACTTGTTATCAAACACACAAACACTGCATTCAAAACCCCTTTCAATACATTTGTGCCAAAAGTGTTCACAACTTTACACCAAACAAACATTACAGACATAACCCCCTTATAGCCCACCCCTCCCTCACCCACGCCTCCCCTATTCAATGGATTTATAATTAAATTAATCAAACCATAAGCTTATGGCTCCAGAAGAATATCTTACAGTTATATAAAAGCATCAAATAATATAAAGTTTACAATATTTGAAACATTGAAAGCATTTTTAAATACATTAATTGATGTCTGATATGGAGAGAGGGATACGAAAGGAGACACCAATACTTTGCTACACTTTAATGTGGTTTACAATCAATGTATTGAATTAAATGCCAATTAATTTGAAACTTAAACCAACTATGTTTTGTGGTACAGTTTTTGCCTGCAATGTATTGATAGTATTATGTTTAGTGTTTACAGAAGTTTATGTTACCATAAAATAACAGATCACTTGTCTATCCCTTTATTTTCATTATAACTTGTTTTCTTGTCTACACTTTTCAGTCATGTTTTTGTTTTTGCAGCAAAAATATTATATTTACTTTTAACTACATTTTAAAGACTACTTATAAATAAATTAACGTAAGAATCGACTAAAACAATGGCAACAAAACTTTTACCGTTTAAAAAGTCAAAGAAAACTAAACCAAAGATTATTCAATTGGATGACAACGAAGACAATGACAACCAAAGTCCTCATCAGGAGAACAGGCCTTTGATTAATGCCAATGAGTTTCATAATAGTATTGGTATTGTTTTCATTTGATTTAATACTCATTTAACTCTTTTTGTATAAAATATGTGTTTAATGTGTTTGTAATAACTTTGATAAAAAGTTTAGGTAAATCTGGATTTAGGTGACAGATAACCGCTTAAACCAAACAAATAGTTCTCACCAAATGACCATCGGTTTAATCTGTCATTTATATTCATTTACATATTTTGAGTAATGATTAGTTGATTATGTCATCACAATAATCACCACATGTTATATAAACGATAATTTATATGTTTTATATAACAATACAGAACCGACTCGTGAGATGACACCGAACGGCATCCCATCGGCGCCTCCCGAAGAGGAATACCGACCGACGGGTTTGGCCGACAACAACACCCGCACACTATTTATGCAAAAGGTTTACGCAATTCTTTGCGCCCAAAAGAGCCTCTTTTGTGTTCTTATCGCTCTCTTCACATACATGTAAATCACACACTCATTAAAAGTTATCAACTCTTTTAACTCGATTTCATTGTAACGCAGTCCACATCTGAGGAAAATATTTCGCAAATGGGTTTTTGATCCGTTGTTTTACACCTCATTCATAGGGTTTCCTCTTTGCGTTTTTGTCGTTTTACTCGTTGTCTCGCAATCTATCAGAAGAAAGTTTGCGTTAACAACGCTTATCATTATTGTATGTTTAATTATGCAATGAATTGAGTGCTAATAATTACACTAATTAATTGTCATCTCATAGACGGCATCGTTAAGCTTTCTAATAAGTTATGCGATAACGCAAAGCACTGCCAAAGCGTTTCTATACGCCATGGGTTCCAGTGATTTGTGTGATTTGGGTGTAGTTTTGGGCTCAAGAGGTCGTTTGGATTTCACTAAATGGCGTTATATATCATTAATTCCGTTATCAATGATTGGATCCAGTATTTTGGCGCCGAGTATTCTCGGCCTTTCGGTCAAACATACGATTTGGCCGTCAATTATCATGACCTCTGCCAACACCTATTTGGCCGCCAATACAGTGCCCGTCATTCGCCACAACGATCTTAAGCTGGAACCGAGTGAATACGTGTTCGCCGTGAGTCAACTGTATCTAAATCCGGAACAATCCATAAGATATCGAATTAAGAAATGGTTTCTCGGGTCAGAAAACCGAGAAAGAAGTGCTTACACTGCCATTTGAGCCATTTATTCGTACATTCATTATATTGGATATGAATTAATGGAAACAAATGGTATCCCAATTGATGTCTACTTAATAATGAAAAAACTAAGGCATCGATAAGTTTAATATAATTTTTCACAATTTAATAGAATTTATTAAATGTTTTTAAAACATAAAAATTTATTTTTAAAAGTCATAAAATATGAATTTGTTGTACAAATGACTAAACGTAATGTTGAAAATGTTTTGAAATTATATGAATTTTTTAATTATATATTTCTAGACAAATAAACGGAGTTTACATTAGTTAATTTGATTGTTTAATACTAACGGCTAATTTAATAAAGTGCCCTGTTTATATTTCGAAATGTATAAATTGCCGCCAATTTGTAACTTAAATATTTATCGTAACGTTATTTATGAATGATTTGTTTAAATTTTTTAATGATTTGCAAAATTGGTTTTGAAATAAGTTTTGAAATTAAATTAAAACTCATTTAGTTTTTAGCGATTAAAGTGAAGACAAATCGACGAAATGGTAATCAGTATTGCATTGAATGAATTGACACTCATTTTGGACATTAAATTGCAGTCAAGAGCCGGCGATTCAACGGACAGAACACCTCTTCACTGGGCATCGAGTGATGGGAAGAGAGATCTGGTCCTCAAACTCGTGACCGAAGGCGCGGACATTGACGCCACCGATGAGGTCTGTATGTCTGCGACGACCGCCACGTGATTAAGGGCTTACCATTTGTATTGATAGATGGGTTGGACACCATTGATGATCGCCGTCTCCGCCGGTCATCAGCCGGTCGTCGAGTTATTGGTGGAGAAGAAGGCGGACATGAATGCCGTCAACACAACCGGTCAGTCGGCTCTGCATTACGCGGCCTCTAAGGACCGGCTCGACATCGCTCGGTATCTGATAGACAGCGGCGCTCACATCAATCTCAGGGATAAACTCAATCAGGTCTTCATTTCTAGCACTTAATTAAGTCTAATTTTAGTCTTTATTATGAAGTACTAAACAATTAACTCTTTATTTCATTGACATGTCTTCGCTGTTTAGACACCGCTTCACAGGTATTAATGATAATTGAATGAATGAATTGTTTGATAAAATATGTTTATTCCTTTGAAATACAGGTCCGCCTCTAAAGGCAACCAAAAGATTGTTGAGCTTCTGTTGAGCCGATCGGACATCCAATTGAATCCACAGGACGTCGTCGGCAATACTCCACTGTATTGACAACATTATGAACTAATTGTAAATAAATGTTTTAAACGTTTAATGTTTTAGGCATTTGTCGTGCGAAGAGGAGCGGACAGAAGTGGCCAAAGTGCTGATCAAAGCCAAAGCTCTGACTGACATTCAGAATAAGGTAACCATTGATTGCATACCAATAGTGTTTCGGTATATAATTTGTCGATTATTTTTAGGATAAAAAGTTGGCTTTTGATCTCTGTCTTAACGAATCAGTGAAGCGTTTGTTAAGTAAT